CTCCCGAAATTTTGTTTGGGCACACAACGCAATTGGCGCGCTGCAAGCTTTTTCATGTAAGCTATTACGACCTAATTGTCTCTTGACATTTCTGGGGAATGTCTAAAGGGACAACATCGTTTTCCAACTGCGTGCACTAAGCATTTTTTAAATGCGGCGATTTTGCCGGAGATGAACGGTAAACATGATGATTTCCAGTATTTCCCCTTGCATTCATAGATGTTCTTGTGGAAGTTTTGGGTTGGAGCGAAGAATCATTATAGGTTATTATTTGGGATACCATTCTTACGGACTTTTGTCTCTCACTTTAACTACTGCTAACATTAACTGTTGTTTTAAACATATTGCTATTGAACATACGTAATAGGTTATATGACAGAGGTTGCATCGCACCGAGTTGCGCTGTGTGTCCGAGCAGAAGATTAGGAGATTGCTCCAAGTGCGGAGTAGTTTATCAACTGGAGTGCCGGATTGCCATGCCACCAACATCGACAAGACCGGTCGATCACTTCATGTATGTGTAATGAGCACTTGGCTATTCAAAGAAGACAAAGTCTTGTGAGCCTTGAAAGCATAGGAAGGAAGACAATAAAGACGCCGATCCTGATATAAGATGCAAAATTCTAGCGTTGGAGAAAATATCTTTTCTTAAAAAGCGTTAGAAGCCTCTTGCGCACATACAGAATGAAAAGCAAGAATGAACATCTATCTATTACAAATGATCTGCAGCCCTATCACTCTGAGATCTTTGAAATTGCCTGCCACTTATTGAAGCGCATTTAAGTCACCTTAAACCGCCTAGTTCATCGTAAGCAGGCAGAAGGATAAAGAAGGCAAAAGTGAGAAATTAGCTCTTGCTAAACAGGGTGAAACACTTGGTGAGTTGAAGTCGATTCTGGGCCAGCTATATAATGGAGGATTCGAATGTACAGGATGGATAAAGTGTTGGTGGAATGGGCCACGTGATAAAAGGTGAATAAATCATTTTCAGGCCTCAGGTGCGCCGAAGTTGGGCTTTGAAATAAAGTGTTCCACTAACTGTGACCGCATACAAAAGAACAAGATAAACAAAATAATCCCAAGGTTTTAGTAAAAGAACAAATGGACTGCTCAATC